AGAACCCAGTCCCACCTGGGTCTTGCTTTACTTCAAGAGAAGAGCACCGTTCCCCACCCTCTGCTCTCACGATTTCAAAACAGCGTCACTCGGGGCCTCATCTGTAAAAAAGGGAATGGTCCAAACCCTGGGAGGATAAAGCATGCGCACGGAACATGCTGAGCCACTCGGGGGCCCGTAGAAGGTGCTCAGTGGTCACTGATCTTCGTTCTGCTGTTGCTGTTTTCTCCCCGTGGTCTCCTGGCCACTCCTCTCAGCCTGGCCTCTGTTCTCCCTGACACCCTCAATGGCTCCAGCCTCGGGCTTCCTGCCTTCTTTTTTCTCCCGGTCTTTGGATCTCCTGCCTCTTTGACCCCAGCCCCCTTGCACCGCCTGGGCTCCCACCTGGGGCTGGGTGTTCCTGTGACTCTCCAGCCCTCCCTGCCCTCCTGCTGTCTCCCTGCCGCCTCCCTGTCCTCTCCCAGGCCCCAAGCAGCCGCCCCCACACATCTCTGGGGCCCAGCCCGCTGTCCGGTGCCAGCTGACATCTCACCAAAGCCCCTCTCCGCCTCTCAGCTGGACCGAGATCAGAATTTTTCAACCAAACATTCTTAAGAAACGGGGGAGGAAGGCCCAGGAAGGACAAAAGCAGACACAGAAAAACAGACTCAGAAGTGGACCTTGCTCAACACAGGTCCCTAACGGTCGTGGGGATGCAGATCTGAGAAGCCAGCCCAGCTCCTTGGTGGGCAGAGGGGCTGCAGCTGCTCAAGGACAGGGCACAAGTGACCAGCACCGTGTCCAGGCCCTGCCCACCTCCCTGGCGGCTCCAGCCCCTCTCAGGCCTATTGTTCTGCCGAGAATCTAGGCCAAGGCCGCTGTGGAAGACAGGGAGCCTCGCACGCCGCTCCCTGGGAAATCTCAAGATCCACATCCAAGCAGGCCACCCCCACCCTGTCTGGTCAGGCCAGCCTGGGCCCGAGAGGTGGACGGACGGGCAGCTGCGGGCACGGCGGTGAGGAGCCCAGCGGGGAGGGCGGCAGCCGCCCTAATTACTCCAGCTCCCCGGGTTCCAATCTGGTTTCAAAAGGACTCCAGGGACACAGCCTTTAATAACTACCAGTAAACAGGCAGGAAAATCGATACGTGGTAAATAGAGCCCTAGAGGGGGTGCTGGGCTGGCCAGCACTGCCCAGCTCCCAGAGGCCTCTGCTGCAAGGCTAGCCAACGCCCCGGCCTTTGGAGCCCTCCCATGCCTGAGGCCCATGTACCCTCTTAGGTGCCAAGTACGGTGCTCATTTCAGTGGCAGACGCCTCCTGTGCACCCAGTTTTGTTCTTGGTCCGGGTGGAAATACGTGTGGGTCTGACTTGGTCCTTGTCCTCTCAAAAGTCATCAACAAACAAGAGATATGGAGAATAGCAATAAGTTAGCAACAGTGCAGAGATAGACACGTAATAAAAAGAACGGTGTAGAGCCCAGAAGCACCTGCCGGAGGAGATGGATGCACAGAGAGCTTTGCTGGTTAAATAGGAGTTCATCACCCGAAGGAGGATGATGTAACAGCAGCTGCCCTAACTTCTACCGTTCACTAATCATTTACTGCACACCAAGGGCTCTGGGAAGCACTTTTGCCATGCATCAGATTATTTTGTCCTCCGACAATTGTTGGGGCAGGGATGAGCCCCCCACAGAGAAGGACACGGGGGCTCCGGTTTACACTCAACCTGAAACACTTCCGGGTCGCTTCTCCCCTTCACCTGCCTTGGCACTGCCAACCTGATCTGCCCTGCCCAGCTCATTGCTTGGCCCATTTCCACGTCTTCTTGTCGTTCCCCCCACTCCAGGGCTTCCATGGCTCCCCAGGGAACTCTGCACACCAGATGTGAGGTTCACCTCTCACAACCCTGCCTTTTTTGCAGATGGGGAAACTGAGGCCCTGAGAGGAGCAGACCAGTCCACAGGAGCAAGTGGGAGTGGGCTCCAGGGATTCCCCTCTAGCGAATCCACATGGAGGGAATTGATGTGCACACTCAGTTGAAATGATACATCCGGCCTCCAACCGAGGCCGCCCCAGAGGCCCAGGGCCTGGGAGCAAGGGAGTCATCATATGATTGGCTGGGACATTATAGGAGCCCAGAGACCTTATTTCTGGGGGCCAGGCAATGACCCAACCTCCCCACACCTTCCCCTGGCTTCTTGCCTGAGCAGTGGAAGCTGTGCCGCCCCATTTCCCCGGCTGTCAGGGCCTGAGCAGTGCGTAGGAGCACGACAGCCTGTCGCCCTTGGTTTTTGGACAGAGCAGGCAGGGGACAAGCTTATCCAGCCTCGAGTGGGGACATAGTGGGGGCGGTCAGACAGGGTCTATGGCCAGAAGGCGAGATGGACCCTCCAAAGAGCTGGGGTGGGTCCCCCATTGGGCTGCAGATCCCTGGGCCAGCCAGCTGGGGGAGGGGGTACTTAAACATGGAAATGGCCTTGGGCTGTGAGGACCTACTGTGTGCGGGCAGCGCTGCAGCCAGCAAAGCAGATAAGAGCTCTGGTCTCACAAGTGAGGAGACCGAGTACAGAAAGCCTGCAGGTTCAAGTGTGCCAGGCAGTGTGAGTGCTCGAGAGAAAAACAACACAGGGTGAGAGGGCAGCAGAGGGGGGCAGGTGATTTAGAGGAGCTATCTGGGGAGATGGTCCCAATGAAGCCATGTTTGAACACAGACCTGAAAGGAGGAAGAACTCTGAGAAATCTGGGTGCAGGTAGTTTGTTCAAGGCAGAAGATACAGCCAGTGCAAAGGCCCTGGGGTGACACCACATTTGAGATGTTCAGAGAACTGCAGGGAGGCCAGAGTGGCTGGAGTATACTGAGTGGCAGGGGAGTGGTGATCGTTGAGAGAGGGTGACAGGGCCATACCGCGTGGGGTTTTGTAGGTTTCTGTGAGGACTTTGGCTTTCACTCCAAGTGAGGGGGATGCACGGAGGGTTTGGAGGGGCTGAGCAGGAGCCCCTGGATGCCATGTGCTATGGGGGCAGAGCTGGCACCAAAAGGAGTCACGAGTCTCCTGCAAAGTCCGGGCAGGAGACACACAATGGTGTGGACCAGGCGGGGTGTGTCTGAAGGCAGAGAGGGCTGGGTTTGCTGACAGGCGGGAGGAGCATCATAGGGCAAGAGGCCCGAGGTTCACGGGTCCAAGGAAGGACCGCTGAATGGGGAGACAGGAAAAGCAGGTCCCAGCAGCAGGCGAATGGGCTCTGCCTGGGCCGCGGCTGGGTTTGGGGCACCTGCTGGAGTCCACGGGGTGGCACCCGGCCCTTGAGAGGAGAGGCTGCTGGTGGTGGGCTTGCGGGTGATCACAGCAGAGAGTGTCTGACTCCGGAGTGTCCTCTCCACACCCCTGTGAGGAAGGGCTGCTGGGGCCCATTTTGCAGATGAGAAAACTGCTGCTAATGGACAGTGAGTCACCTGACACAGCCTTAGAGCTGCAAAGTCAGGGGTCGGGGCTGTCCCAGGTCTGTCTGCTGCTCAGCCTGCCCCTCCCCGAGCCCTGCGCCCCCAGGGACTCACACGGCGTCCTCCCCACAGCCCGAGGGTGGGTGTGGATTAGCATCACCCACATTTTCCAGATGGGGTCTCTGAGGCCTGGGGAGCTTTGGGGACTTGCCCACGGCCTCCTTTCTGCAGAGGTGTGAGACGGACCCAGCAAAGCACCTCATGCGCCAGCCCCATGACCCGGCACAAGCCAAGGCTCTGAGGAGTCCTGCACCTACAGCCACTCCGGTTGTCACGGGTACCTCGGGGTCCCCAGCAGGCCTGGCTCTCAGAGCAGCTAACGCTTGGGCAGACAAGAAGCAGTGGTGGGAGAATCGGGCACTGATACCTCAGGGGTCTGGAATGAGCAGTGGGCGTGGAGCCCTCCACAGAGCAGCCAGTCAGCAAGTGTTCGTGGAAGGAGGGGTCCGTGAACAAAGAGATGAGTGGAAAAAAAAATAAGTGGACAGAATAAAGGAGCAACGGATGAGAGGAACAGAATAAGTCCACCCAAGGCAGATCCATGTGTGAACTCATTCATTCAGGAAACACAAGCTGGGCATCGTGGTGCATGCCTGTAATCCCAGCCCTTGGGAGGCTGAGGCAGGAGGATCGCTGTGAGTTCAAGACCAGCCTGGGCTACAAAGTGAGCTCAAGGCCAGCCTGAACTGCATAGTGAAACCCTGTCTCAAAAAGACCAAAAGGAAATACATCCTGTGCACAGGAGCTGGGATAAGCAGAAAAGGAAACAAGGTTCCCACTCTTGTAGCCCTTACATTCTATCAGGGGGAGACAGAGAGAGCCCCGATAAAGGGGTAAAATGTAGTCTATCAGGTGGGGAGAAGGGCGGGAGGAGAGGTGTGTAGTGGTGCACGTTTTAAATAGGTTGGGGTGGAGGCAGGAGTGATTCGCACGGATGAAGGAGCGAGCAAAGGAAGCGAACAGCCTCGGGTGTGAGTAGGGCTCGCGTGCGTGACTGCAGGCGTGAGGGGGCCTGTGGGAGAAGCGTGGGATGAGGGAAGGGAGCAGTGGATGAGTGCGGGAATGGAGGCGTGGAGAAATGAACGGTGAACGGATGCCGAGTAAGCGAACTGTAGGCCGAGGAACGAGCGGATTGGTTGACAGATGCTTAAATGCGGGAGTGAACTAATGAAGAACCGCATGCCGGAAGCCCCTCTGCGGGGCCTGCCCCACCCCCGCCCCTCCAGCCCTGGCCACCTCCCACCGGGTCTGAGCAGCCCCCGCCCGCTGCCCTCTCCACCCGGGTGGGACCCTGGGGTGGGGGTGACTACCCCGGGCCCCCCGTCTGCTGGCCACTGCACCCCTTACTGGCTGAACCTGCTGGCCCTGGGACCCCACCCACCAGCCTGTGCGGACCCCTTAGCCCCGGGCCTGTGTGGCGCTCTCTCCGTCCGTCTTGGTGCTCCCCTGACCCCCCAGGGCTGACCCCCGTGCTGCCCGACCCCGCCCTGTCTTCACGCCGCCTCTGTGTCCCCCACAGGCACCATGCGGCCCGTGAGGCGCAACTTCTACGACCCGTCGTCGGCGCCGGGCAAGGGCATCGTGTGGGAGTGGGAGAACGACGGCGGCGCGTGGACGGCCTACGACATGGACATCTGCATCACCATCCAGAACGCCTACGAGAAGCAGCATCCGTGGCTCGACCTCTCGTCGCTGGGCTTCTGCTACCTCATCTACTTCAACAGCATGTCGCAGATGAACCGCCAGACGCGGCGCCGCCGCCGCCTGCGCCGCCGCCTGGACCTGGCCTACCCGCTCACCGTGGGCTCCATCCCCAAGTCGCAGTCCTGGCCCGTGGGCGCCAGCTCGGGCCAGCCCTGCTCGTGCCAGCAGTGCGTGCTGGTCAACAGCACGCGCGCCGCCTCCAACGCCATCCTGGCCTCGCAGCGCCGCAAGGC